CTTTCATCCCTCAGTCCACCTTTCCACCCCTTTTTCCACCCTTCATCCACCCCTTCACCTCTCCCTCCACCCCTCCATCCCTCCAACCCCATAACGACAGGACACCTATAGGACAGCCTCTTACAGCTTCCCTGGCATTGTACCATTTATTTTTTTTCCCCTGGGACCGGGGACAGCGGCTGATCACCCAGGGCTCCTCTCACCCCTCAGCCATCGGGGTGCCCATGCCGTCGGGGGGGGCCACCGGTGCCGTCCACCGTGCGACCCCCGCGCTGTGGCTCTGTTGCAGGCAGCAGCAAGGGGAGCGGAGCGGCGGCGGGCAGCGCGGAGCGGCCGCCTTTCCTCTCGCCCTCACAGCAGGACTTTAAGGAGGAGAAGGAGAAACCGCTGGGACCCTCCTCGCCCTCCTGCGGGGACCGGCAGCGCGACGGCGGGGACCGGCAGGCCGGAGCCGCCAAGAAGAAGACGCGCACGGTGTTCAGCCGCAGCCAGGTGTACCAGCTGGAGTCCACCTTCGACATGAAGCGCTACCTGAGCAGCTCGGAGCGGGCCTGCCTGGCCTCCAGCCTGCAGCTGACCGAGACCCAGGTGAAGACGTGGTTCCAGAACCGCCGCAACAAGTGGAAGCGGCAGCTCTCGGCCGAGCTGGAGGCCGCCAACATGGCGCACGCCTCGGCTCAGACTCTGGTGGGGATGCCGCTGGTGTTCAGGGACAATTCGCTCCTCAGGGTGCCGGTGCCGCGCTCCCTCGCCTTCCCAGCGCCCCTCTACTACCCCGGCAGCAACCTCTCGGCCTTACCGCTCTACAACCTCTACAACAAGATCGAGTACTGAGCGCCTCCCGCCCCGATGGCGGCTCGGGGACGGGGGCTCCAGGCTGGGGGGCTCCTGGCAGGGGGGCTCCAGGCACAAAGGGTCGGGGCTGGGGGGGCTCCACGGCCCCTTCCCCAGCTCCGTTTGCCCCGGGGGAGCTCGGAGAGGGACAAAATGGGGGGCCCCGACGGGGCGCAAGCGGCCTGACGCAGCCTCACGGCCCCTGTGTGTGCCCCCCCCACCTCCCCTCCCTCTCTCCGCCGTCCTGCCACTTGAAAAGAAAATTAATTATTAAAAACTAAAAACTAAAAACTAAAAAAAAGCGTTATTTCAGATCTGTACATATTTTTAAAGGAAATAAAACGTTTTAAGCCTCGTTTGTAAATTTGCCAGCTCCCGGCCGCGTGTTTCCGAAGCGCTGGGGGTGGAACGGGGTGGGGGGGCACCGTGCACGACTGGGGGTGAAGGGGGAAAAAAACCCAGAAAATGAACAAAAAATAGAGAAATAAATGAAAAAAAGGCCGGACAAAGAGAGGAGGTGAAGGGATGGCCAAGGGGTGGAAGCAAGAAGGGACGAGGGGAGCTTCTTTCCCTATGGAGATCAATATTGTAAGCTGCTGATCCCGGCCTGTAAATCTTGTAAATATCGCAAAAAATATCGAAAATACGGGAAAAGCCGTAAATATCGAAACAAATATCGCGAATATCGTTAGAATATCGTCAATATATTGAGAAAGAGCATGGAAATCGTAAGAAAATTTATAAATATCGTAAGAAAATTCGCAAATATCGCAGGAAATGTGATAGATATGGTAAGAAATATCATAAATATCGTAAGAAATATGGTAAATATCGCAAATATCGGCTCGGGGCGGGGGGCGGCCCTGCTTTCGGATCCCCCCCCCCCGCTGATCTCTTCCCCTAATGGGGCCGGGCCGGGCGGGACACCCCCCCCGAGGACTACACTCCCCAGCATGCCCCGCGGCGGGGCGCCGCGCCGCGCGCGTTTCCGCCTTTCGAATCGGCCAATGGGGAGGGGCCGGCGGCGGCGCGCGTGCGCAGAGCGGCGGCGGCGGCGGCGGTTGCAGGCGCTGAGGTGAGGGGCGGGAGGCAGCGGGGCCGCGACCGGGCCGCGGGGGCCGGGGAGGGGGCGCCGGGGCCGGGGGTGGGTTCGGGGGCCTCGGGGGTGGGCTCCGGGCTCCGGGGCTCATCCCGAGCCCTGGTGGTGGCCGCCGGGTCCCGCCGCGTCGCTGTGGAGGCGGAGCGGCCGCCGCGGCCTGCGCAGGGCCGGTCCCGGTTCCCCCCCCCTCACCCCGCTCGTTCCCCGCAGCTCCCGAGCAGCGCCCGAGCACCGGCAGCGCCACAGCCACAGCCACAGCGCCTCGCAGCTGCACGAGGGAGCGGCCGCGGAGGCGGCGAGAGGAGCCCGGCACTATGAAAACGGTACCGGGGGCACGGGGGGGGCTCTGAGGGGCTTTGCGGGGCTGTGGGGGGGCTGTGGGGGGTTCCCTGCGCTGTGTGTGTAGTGCCGGTGTTAGGAACCGGCTGCCGTGCTCGGGGTGTGGGTCGGGGTTCGGTTGGGTGAGGGGGGGGGGTTCGGTGCTCCGTGGAAATCAGCCCCTGAGTAAGCCGCGGTTCTGGAACCCGTGCGATTTGTGTGTGGTTTCTGTAAAGGTAGGTGACAGGTAGGGGATCTTTGCGTTCTGATGTTGTTAATTTACCGTTTTTTCTGGATTAAAAATAGCTCCAGGGTCTCTCGTGTCTCTTCGCGTTCTGTATCGCTGCTTTTTGTTTGCTTTATGGGTGGTTTGTGACTGTTGTACCAGACACCTCAAACACTCGTTTGTTCAGTTTTCTGTTGAGTAGACAAGGCTTTTAGAGTGTCCAGTAAAGTCCTTCCAGTCCCTAATTCCTTTAGTTTTTGTGTCTTTGTGCATCCACCTGAAATTACCACTGATGTACATTTAATTACTCAAAGAGTAACAAAGATGCTGATGAATCCTTTACTAGAGTTTAAATGTCAGTATGTGCGCTGGGTTCTCCAGATGTGTGTCCTTCAGCCAAGTACTTGCACAACAAAGCTGAAAAAAGGGATTAGGAATGTAGTTTTTATTTCCTGTTCTTAAGAGTGCTTATACTCACACTTCACATTTGAGTAATTATAGTATGGGTTTCTGCCTGTGTTCTTTTTTTTTTTTTTTTTTGAAGGATGTCTTTACCAAAGTTTCCCATCAAGAATTTTTTGTAGTGTAAGAATGTACAGCGCTTATGTTACTGTACAGCTTGATGGCTGTTGCTGACAATCACAGTGTGCTACATTTGAACCTCATCTTATTTCACCTACTCAGTCTCTCTTCATTTTCATTCTCAAAATCTCACCTCTGCATTTGTACACAGAAAGCCAGGAGTGATAGTGTTACAGAAAGTCAGAGCTAATTGACTTCTCTGCCCTTTTTGAGAAAAGGAAATGTGCTGTTAAGGCCTTAGAAAGCATTAAAAAAGGTTTGGAGGCTTTGTTGGTGTGCATGTAACAAACAGTTTCTTCATCCAGAGCATTTGTAAGGTTTGCGCTGATTTACTAGCGGATAGTTGCTGCTTGTAGCCTCAGCTCTACTTTTTTTTTTTTTTTTTTCGTGTGTGCATATAACTAACTAGTCCTGTGGACTGTGTGACAATTGCCTTTAGAGTCATCGATCTGTCAGTAAATTTTTGATCTGTTTTTCCTATTACATCACGTTTATGTATTTGCTCTGCATTTTGGTATCCCACGAAGCATAGTTTTCCTCTGTTATATTACTTTTTTTTTTAAAACCTATCTTAGAAAAAATCTTAAAGCTATTCAGTGGAAGTATTTTGTAGCAACTAAGGAAGCTGAAGTACTGGAAGGTTACAGAAAACCAGAAACTATTTGACGTTTTATCCAATTGCAGTTCTTGGAAGATCAGGAAAGTCACATGGAATCAGGAACACTTTTTTTTTGAGTTTTCAAATCAGATTCTTTCCTGCCTGCACATTGTTTTTAAAACTTCCTCAGTTTCAGAATAATTTATAAATACTTTAAAAAATATATAACTGCCTAGACAGTGTAGTGGGAGTGGGAATATATGGCGATAATCTAGATTTATAGGTAAACAGTACAAAAAGCTTATGATTATTACTCTATAGTATATTTGGTATTTAAATTTTAAAGTTTTTCAGGAATTCATTGAGATATTAGACAGTGATAAGCATCTTCAATTTTGTGACTTTGTGAGCAATCTGTTTGTTCTGCACTTTGTGTAAAGACTAAGAAACTTTCCAGCATTCCTTTAAAGTAGCTTTAAGATGCGTCTGTAAGCTAGCTAACTCTCTGGGCTTATTTTCTTGTTACCACTAAAATATATCTGCTCTTTACTGTCTTCAGATGACAGGATCAAACGAGTTCAAGCTCAATCAAACTCCAGATGATGGCATTTCATCAGTCAAGTTCAGTCCAAATACATCCCAGTTTCTGCTTGTGTCGTCCTGGGACACCACTGTCCGTCTCTATGATGTTCCTGCCAACACCATGCGGCTCAAATACCAACATTCAGGGCCTGTCCTTGACTGCGCCTTTTATGTAAGTGCATGTTATTTTATTTTATAAATCTACTGTGCACATGTTAAATTGTTAGTCCATGAAATTAAAGGCATACTTCCTATCTGAAATCTAGGTCAAAAAGAATAGTTTGCTTCTGCTGATTATTCTTTTACAAACACGTTTGTTCTAAATATATGTTTCCTGCGAAGGATGCAGGCTCACAAATAATTTCCTTCTCATAGAAGTGGCAGACAAGAGTAAGTTCAGCTGGTTTATGCTGTTTTTCCAATGATGTGGTAAATTGTTTGCGTGTTTCTAAGAGTAGTATGTACCCAGAAATCATTGTTCACGCTGAATGCCCACAGCCATTCTTATCTTTTTAACCTTCTCGTACTGGGCTGTTTTGGAAACACAGCATTGTTCCAAATGAGCCATTTACCAAACACTTGGTTTCTGTATTTTTAACGTGTGGGTCTTGAAATATGTTTCAGAATGTTTTTTTTTTTTTTTTTTTTAGTTAATCAGTGGCATTGTTTTCGCTTATTATTTATTATGTATAATAACATGAAATGGAGTGTTTCAAATAGCATGTGTGTTTTTTCTTGCTCTGTATTGTGGCATGTCCTCCAGTGACTTCATCTTTGTGTTACTGAATGTTGTAAGGATCAATTTAATTTTTTGACTGTGCTTTTTTCACTTAACATTTTGTCACATAGCTAGAATCACACCATGGGTCAACACACAGGTTCTCACATGGTTTATAGTTTCACAAAAATCTTGCAAAGAAGTCCTTTTTTGAATGTGCCTAGGTGGTTAAATGTACAGTGGCCAAAGAAACTTAGTGCATATCATAAGGTGAATTTTTTGCTTAATAGGATCCTACCCATGCCTGGAGTGGAGGATTAGATCAGCAACTGAAAATGCACGATCTAAACACGGACCAAGGTGAGCAGATTGAATTTTTTAAACTGGTCTCTTTGAAACAAGTGACCTGAGCTTCAGATTGACACACTTACAAGAATGAAATTTATTTATTTATTTTTTAAAGAGAGATACTTGCTTTAAGTAGTAGCTGTTCAGTTATTTATTAATAGTCCTCTTGCTTTAAGTTGTCATTGTGCTCAGGAGTCACGCAGCCCTTTCTGATTGCCATGGTAAATCTGTCAAGGGCACTGAACAAGGCAGTGTTTCTTACTGTGTAATTGAAGATTGTACTGTAGCACCTTTAACAGAAGGGCTGGAACTAAACATTTCTAGTGATTAATGTTAATTGAGGCATTTTGCATGTGTTTTTCTTCTTCTTTTTTTTTTCCTACCTAATTTTAAGATGAAAATGGAAAGGAAGGAAACAGTTAAATCCTCATCCTGCTGATGGTTCCTGGCATTTCCTTCCTAGTGCCATCTAGCAGGACAGCAGGGTTTGGTGCTTTGCCAGAAAGTTGGGTAGGTGCTTGTTAGAGGACATCTTGAATGGGATTTCTGGTTATCACATCCTGCTGTGCTGTAGGCCGCTGTGTCTCACATCTGGGCGATTAGCTGAGCTGTCCTAAAACAGAGCATGTTATTTTTTAAAGGCTTGTAGTTAGACAAAATGGCAAAGAGAACTTAAAGCTTTTGCTTTGTCAGACTTCATGACCTTATATTACATTCTTCTCTAGCAAAGCACAGTGCCTCATTGTTGAAAAATATGGAGCTAGTTTGTCCAACTTCTTTCTGTGTGTAAATGTGTGAAAGAGAAAAACGCTTATCAGCCTGATACAAATTGAGTT